AACCTCCGGATTAACGATATTCGAATATTTATAGAAATATTATTAGTCTCTGCAAGGCGAGCAGGTGTGGCCTAGTGGTTACAGCGTTCAACTGTCTTCTCCGCACTTAAATGGCGGACGAGGCTCGAGCTGATGCCGCGCCGGTTCGATCCCTACTTAGTGCTGTTTGTTAAGTAGTGTTTTGATGTTCTCTGAAAAACTGTAGATACACCTTTAAACAATACTCACTCACTCAACACCATCTTCTGTCACCCACAGTGTACAATATCCCCATAATGTATTACTAGATATATACCCTGGATACTCGAGGATGAGTCAGACTAACATGGTGGCCAGGCTGGCGCAAGAATCTCATATGGCGTAAGGCGGGATACTTCGGAAAGTTTTTTGTTGCCGCACGGCGGTCTATAAAAAATCGAGTCTTTGACCAGACAATTCAATGATTGTCATCGTAAGCATCGATCTATTCAATTGGATACGATGACATGAATCAACCAAGTCAACGAGCCTGACCAAACTATCCCGTTCGTCGCCTCTTGCGACAAGCATAGTCACCTCCTACGATACGAGTTGTTGAAGACCAATTCTAAACCGGATCTTCACGGGGGTACTTTGGAATGAATCTACTCATACGGCCGGGGTATCACCACACACAAAGACAGCCAGACACCGAAATGAGTTCTATGTTGCTCAGCATTCATATACTTATATAACTGTCCATATATGTCAAATGTATTTCTAGTGAGTGCGTTACGATATTTTTAGATAGATGTTCGTTAGTAAGTGAATACAAAAACAATGTTTCATCTGATACAGCTGCTATGTAACAATTGTTCAACAACAAAATTAAAAAGTTTAATGGAAACATAAAAAAGTAGTTTTTAATAAAATATATTTTTGAATACTTATGTAACGAACCACCTGCCAATAAACTGATATTGACTGTATCATGTAGAAGTCGTTGACAGTTGCTTCAAGTAGCGCCTCCTACAAGGAAGATAATTGGGCGGAGACTCCTTCAGAAGGGTTATCTCCCCTATTAATACCTTTCCTCTGAACAACGCAGGAAGGAATGCGCGAGAACCACAAAACCGTGAACTGCTTACGCAGAACACGTTGGCGCCCGTACCATGTAAGGGGGAAAGCAGAGAGAAGGGGGTGAACCTTAACTCTACCCCCCTTAGTTCACCTGCGGAGGTAAAGCGTTAAGGGTCAATGATGTAAATGATATTTGAGAAATCGTCTTCCTACATTGAAGTAAGCAAGTAAGACGTGGTAAACTTTGCTCTTCGGAATCCCAGGATGGAATTTGTGGTGTTCAGATGAAAGGGATCAAACGTTCCATATTAAAAATGTGCACATAATAACACTGCCTAATAGCATTGCTGCTCATTTTTGACAGTGGGTGTGTGGTATTCATTGCCTTAATTGCTGAGATTAGCTAGGTAAGCAATGTCCTCGGATTAAGCTAGATTACATTGGGGACAGGAGTCATTATTTAGCCAGCATGGGTTGGTTGCTATCTGAGTTCTTGTCAACATGTTCATGCAGAGGGAATATTAAAACCTTTTACATGCTTTTGCTGTGGGAATTTTAATTTCAGCTCCACAGTTGGTGCGAGATATGTCTGTTGACTGATGTAAGAACAAAGTGTTTGGCCCCCAACCAAATATTTCAACCCTAGTGTGTACGGTGTTCTGAGGGGGTGGTTAGACCTTCCTGGGGGAGGGGGTACCATTGTCGAGGACAAAACGACGAGGGCTTTTAGTACGATGACTTTCAATACGCGAGGTGGGATGTCTGATTTGAATAACAGAAGATGCTACCTGCCACCGATGTTGTGAGGACGAGGCCGTAATTGCTGCCATTGCTGTTCCCCTGGGGCGGCCGGGAATGGAACAGACGGAAACGTGTGGGAACTAATTCCGTAATTGCTTGGAACTGTATTATGAATGCATTGATTGCCCATTCAGTTAGACGGACATGTAATATGGCCATATTTTAATCCAATTTTTGTTTCCATGTTTAAAGTATGCCCCCTGTGGATTTCATGGGATTAGATTAATCAATCATACACGCGTTATTCTTTGGTTCGATACACCTACATTACGTTATTCATGAGTTCGATAAAATATTCCATAAATAGCACAACTTGGACGTGAAATCCGCCGCGCTCTTGATTCTTAGCAATCAATCAACTTGTATTGCGTCTTTCCCTCTCTACAATTACGAATTAATTACGAGGCGGTAGATTGGTTTTACATGAAGACGCTTTTATTTACAAGTAATGCATGATACTCATCTATAGGTGATTTAACTTTAAGGAGAGTCGTTACGGAGGCCACAGGTTCACGCAAAGGTACAACTGCTAGTCTCGATTTCATCTTTGATACAGTGCGCGTGACGGAAGTGGATACGCCAGGGTTGCTGCGGACGTTGTATAGGGGTCGAAGGTGACAGATCATCGCGTGCTAATGGAGAGTGGGGTGGGACGTTTGCCCACATTTTGTAATGTTATCTGGTCGTAGTGATATACCTTGGGTTGTTTTGAAAAGTACTGTAAATAAATACAGACGAAAAGTTTGCTTCGTCATGTCTACTATAGCGGTCTTTCGAAAACGACAAGAAAGGCGAGAGCGGTTTTGGAAAAAAACAAGATGGCGTTTTACATTAAACCGCTACCGGTTTTCAATCTCGGACCACTTCCGATGAAAGAAGGTAAAGAATTACAGTGATATTTCAAGTTAGTGGTAAAAGTAGAGGTGATATATCGGGCGGTGGGGTAGCCTACTGTTTAAAGCGTTCGCTCGTCACGCCGTACTCACTCACTCACTCACTCAGTCACTGATATATCGATTTTTTTCTAATATTTTATACTGCCAATTGTAGCGTGTTGTAAACGCACAGGCTATTCTAACTGGTCGGAGCGCCAGTAGTGACATATAGGTTGTTTGTTTGTTGTTTGCTATATTCCAGCGATATGATAATAAATCCAGCTGTAAATAGTCGTGTCTAGGCCAGACAATCCAGTGATTGATATTGTGAGCAACGATCCACGTCTTCCGGGATGGACATACATGGAACAATTTCATTAAAATCAGATTTAAATGCTCGCGACCGCTACACGTACATGTACATCTGAGGACATTCCATTGGAGGTCACGTCAGAACGACCTTTCGTGAACTTTGACCGACCAATGAAATGACTAACAAGAAGACGACATAACCAATCAAAAAACAGCCTTTTCTAGGTTTACGTCACTAGTTTCAAACTGGCGACTTCCATTTAATCCAGTCAATTTTGAAACTTGAACGAAATAATTTTCTTGATGGCCGAGATTGTATGGCAGTGGAAGTGGAAAGTCCCTTCCACTTCAAGTGTTCATCCCTTTGAAGCGAGAAATAGACGAAGATTTTGACGGAATCAGTCCGTAACTGTCGTTCGGAATACCCCGTGTAAAAGGTTGAATGACTAGAAAACACATTCCGACTGTCGCTTTCCGAATCTGGTAAGCAACGTTTTGATTGGTCGCGTGAAAGGTCATTCTACCGTGACCCGGATTGGGATGTCCTCAGATCATTGTTTAGCGGTAACGAGAACAATGATCTGGTTTTAATGAGATTGGCATATAGAAAAACTGGCATCACCTACCCCATGGGATTTATTGCCATATAACTGAGTTTGAGATAATATGATCGTGATATGATCATTTTATAGGGGCGACTTCGTATGATTAAAAAAAGCGACAAAACCTTTTAATATTCATAAGAGTCGATTGTACGATTCCGACTGTATCGTGAGCATGTGAGGTGAGGTGAGATGAAATGAGGTTTAACGTCGCGTCAAAGATTATTGCACTTATATAGCGACGTGCATCCACGTGTGTGTGGTTGCTTGTACTAGTCCGGACTGATGTCGATTTATAGTGCTAGCACGCTGAGATACCATGCCGCAGTTTAACACGAATGCCCCACTCAAACACAGTATACTGACTCCAAGCCGACCAGTCCTTGTTATAGCCCCTTAATGCCGAGCGCCAGACAGGGTAACAACAAGTACCATCTTTTAACGTCTTTTGGTATGACGCGGCCAGGGAACGAACCCCGGACCTTCCGCTCTCCGGGCGGACGCTCTACCACTAGACCACGGAGGCGGTCGTTGATGAAGGAAGGCCTGTTAACCCAACGTTTTGGTGATCCTTATGTCTTCTCCATATCAACTCAGACGTAAACCGTGTATTGAAATCTTTTGCGGATTTTCTTTTTCCAACTGATCACACCACACAACTGAGCAGTAAAACAACACTCACTCACTCACTCACTCACTCACTCACTCTCACCTGACGCAATATCGTGGCGTAACTCAAACAATTATTGATTCTTTGATGTTCCCTAGTGAAACTGCCCAACCGCAAAAGCACAACTACCTGTGACTGTTCGTGTTCCGGTTCCCGCGAGGGTGTTACACCTGAACTCGAGACCTGAACACTAACCCCGGCCGTGTAGCGCATCGATCACACCTCAATGTCTGTCAGTTCCCACGGCGCATCTCCTCCCCAGAGCTGGACAATCTAATCTGTAACACCAGGACCCGTCTGTGACCATTACGTGTAACACGCAGATACGACCCGTGAAGGTCCCGGTTAGAATAGGTCTTCAGCAACCCATGCTTGAGGTAAGAGGCGACCAACGGGATCAGGTAGTCAGGCTCAAACAACACACACATGCACCGCCACACCCTTCACTGAAAGCTGGTTCCAGTGGTCAAAGTTTCGTCCATCACTTCTTACCACAAACATCCCGATCATCGTTCCCGCCACAGGGTGCTGACCAGGACGAACATCTCGACTCAACAAGATATTGAAAGCGACAAAACCCTTTCCAGGAAATTTCTGCAAAAAACAGACTCGATTGTACGATTCCGACTGAATCACAATCCTGTGTTTATGAATCACTATCAAACAATGATGATATCAGGTGCTACTGGGCCTTTACACAAGATGACGACCTTTCTGCCTCCCGTGTGCGACCATAAAAAATGCCAGGTCGTCCTTGCAGGCTCAAATGAGATAGAATGGTTGCCTGGGTCGTTCCTAGGTGGTACACAGGAGGTTCAGACATCGCCATGGACGCCGTGAATTTTTTAACATGTTCCAAACTGTCGCACAAAGGTCGCCGAGGAGGTTGGTTGCTCAAAGGTGGCTCAAAGGAGGCACAAGCATTGCCGTTGTTGCGGAATGAAGGCACTGTGGTCGCACAATAGTCGCCAGGTAATAGATGCGTTCTGCTGTAAATTTTCTCGTCAATCTGGGCGATGCTTCTGCCTCCCATGTGCCTCCTTTGGGCGACCAACAGCGTGCATTGAATGATGACTGTGGCGACAGCCGTGCCTCCACTCGGCGACCACGGCAACCATTGAGGCACCATGGCAATGCTTCTGCCTTTTTTCTGCCTCCTTTGAGTTACCGGTAGTGCCTCCTCAACCTGCCTATAAAAAGAGCACCTGCAGTGTTTCATTGTGGTTGCAGACGCCGAACAACTCGAGCAGTTACTGCTGAACAACAGCTGGAGCAGTTACATAGAAACATAGATATAGACACTTGGCATAAGCTCCAATTCCGTCTTATATACTCGACACAGAGCAAGAGTCCATCGACGTCTCCCCGTAGGAATTCTAGCGTAGAACATGTTCCCAGAATCCATGCATGTCTTCCCGCGGGGAAAGGTCACCAGGGCCCATTATTCACAAAGCGATCGCATCGCTAAGACGACCATAACTCCCATACGTTAACTTAGACTTACGACAATCGTAGCGCTGGGGATGCTTTGTGGAACGTGGCACAGGACTACTGCTTGTTGTATGAGTCGACCTCTGATGTGTGTCCTGAGTGATGTGATATGTCACTGCATCCCTTGATCATGGTTCTATGTGTACGACATTCATGGATTTATGATTATAACGTTCATAAATACATAACTAGGTTCCACTTTTAGTTTGCGCAGTATTGTTCAGGTATTGTTTTATGCCCCTGAAGCTTCACTAGAGTTACCTGCCCTTGTCCAGTACGAAAATCAGAAAATAAAATGTACGGGTGCGTTGAAAATGACGCTGACGGAAACACGACGAACTACTTCCTTTCCGAAACAGCATCAGAGGATGGAACTGTTCTGAATGTTCAGATTAAAGGCCCGAGTGTGGCTTACGTAATCAATGTTCGTCAGTTGTTTTTTTCATCTTCCTCCGAATACTACACAGTTATGGAGATGGTCCATGTATCGGACTGACGTTCCATCCATCATAGTTAGTCGTGCTATCTGTCTCGCGTTGTCTGGGGAGGCCTCGTAGGGCTTGTACTTCTCGCGTCTGCCATCACCCAGCACCTACTCTGGTCAGTCTTCTCCCACTTGGACAGACGAGGAGAAGAAGCCCCATGTTCCAACTGATATGTGCATCATAGGGTTATCATAACTGATAATAAGCCGTTTGTGGATTCAACTGACTGACCCCGGTTCATCTATACTGACCGTGCGATGGAACACGCGCGTTTCCATTTTGATCCTTTCGGCATGTCCTGCTACCCACATTCGGGCACACTCGGCATATTCCGCCAATATATGAGAGGTGAGGTGAAATGGGGTTTAACGTGCATGCACGTGTGTAAGTATGTGGCTGCTTGTTCTAGTCCAGACTAATGCCGATTATATAGTGATCGCACGCTGAAATACCATGCCGCAGTTTAACATGAATACCCCACTCAGACACAGTATACTGACTTCGAGCCGACCAGTCCTTGTTTAAGAATCTTAATGCCGAGCGCCAGGCAGGGTAACAACAAATACCATCATTTAACGTCTATGATGCGGCCGGGGATCGAACCTCAGGCAATCCGCTCTCCAGGCGGACGCTCTACCACTAGACCACGGAGGCGGTCATCTATATAATACCTCGGGCAGCACTGGAGTAGTAATATATCCTGATTTGACTGTAATTGTAACGCTAGATCCCTCCATGTATAGATCGTATAGCACGAAGGCGGGTATTGAAGCGAGGTATGCTTAACAGAAATAACAAAAATCGTTTTAAATAACTGCTCAAGCGGAAACAATTTGAACACTTACGGATAAAAAGAAACATCCACGAATTTAAAACGCCTGAGCAAAAGAAAGTATACAATTCAAAACTGGATTTGAACCCTCCTTATGTCAGCTATTAGAATGAAATGACAAGCTTTGTTGCACGAGAGAACAGCTACTGAAAGCGGTAGCAAACTCGCTTAAACTTTGGACGTTGTATAGCCGGGTGGTGGTGGTCACTCATTCAGAGTTAGCACTACCCGGCTACAAATGCACATGTATAGCATACTGTCCAAGATAGCACATCCTGGTTACTTGCATGTGCCAAAAACGTCACAACCACATGTTTCATTGATCGGAGGAAATGGCTTCAAAGTGTACATGACAGAAAATGGAAACTGGCCATGACTGAAGTCCAATCACAGAATTCAGTTGCACAATCTAAAAATGTGATATCGGCAAACGGTTAGGGTTAAGATTAGAAAGACTAGGAGGAATCCCAAGCAGGTTTGATATGTACCCAACATTGCGATTCGAGGAACAGATTCATTTAAGCATCAGAACACAGGGGCAAGTTCAGGGCTTGCAACAGGAATCCGACTTTCGACGTCAACGATACGAAACAAGTTGAAAAGTGCGGGTCTGAAATGAAGACGTTCTTCCAGAGAAATGCATCTGACTGTGTGGCACACAGGCACCACAGACACCACAGGCACCACAAACACCACAGACACCAGAGGCACCACAAACACCACAGATACCAGAGGCACCACAAACACCAAAGATACCACAGACACCAGAGGCACAACAGGCACCACAGGCACCGGAAGCACCACAGGTACCACAGACACCACAGGCACCACAAACACCACAGACACTGGAGGCACCACAAACACCACAGATACCAGAGGCACCACAGGCACCAAAGATACAACAGACACCAGAGGCACCACAGACACCACAGGTACCAGAGGCACCACAGGTACCACAGACATCACAGGCACCACAAACACCACAGACACCAGAGGCACCACAAACACCACAGATACCAGAGGCACCACAGGCACCAAAGATACCACAGACACCAGAGGCACCACGGGCACCAAAGATACCACAAGTGGCACATCAGTTGGAGGTCGTCAACTCTGGAGATGAACCATGTTTCCTGAGGAACCGAGGTCCTGTGTATCTCTACAAATGGTAGACACCGTGTTTGGAGACAGCATGGAGAGAGGTACTATGCGGCAGCAGTCAAAGAGCACGAGAGGTTACTGGTGGTAGCATCATGGCCCGAGCTGGTATCACATACGACAACAGGATGGATATGGTTATTGTGTAAAGGAATATGGTTTACAAACATTACAAATTTTTCGTCCAGTTGTCATCCCATTTTCCAAGCGCGAAAGTCAGAACTCGTGTTGCAGTCGACTGTCTGACGCAGCAAGGTGTCAACATTGCCCTGGCCAACCTATTCCCAAAACATGTCACTGATTGAACACCTTTGGGATGTTATGAGCCAAAGTGTTCGCAACCGACAACGTTTCTAGAATTGGGGAGGCCTTATAAGAAGGCTGGCGAAGGATACCACGGAAGACAATCCCGCGTTTGATATCCAGTATGCCCAGAAGATGTCGTGCCTGGATCGATGCCCATGGGGCATGGGCGAGAATTTGAAAAAAAAAAGAGATTAAATTCCACAAGGTCATTTCTGTAGATATCATTTCTGAATACAAGTGTGTGTGTGTGTGGGGGGGGGGGGGGGGGGGGGGGGGTCCTTAAATATCAGTCCTTGTATATATTACAAACGTTCATCAAAACTTTACTGTTCGACTGAAAACAGTAGCCGAAACAATGAAACTTAAGGTCCAAAACACATGGGTGTATATTTTGTTTTGCTCGGAAGTATAGATTGAACCAGGACTGGCCCAGGACGAAAAAAGATCCACAACTGGCTCATGAGGCAAAAGAACCAGAATTGGCGTAGAGACCAGATGCAACCAGAACTGGCTAATCATATAAGACATCTCATATCCAGATTGGAGAGTTGACTGCCAGAAATCATGTATCGTAAAGACAAGCAAGTACGTGGAAGAATTGAATGTCAGAGTGGGTCAAGTACTTTGAAAATGCCGCTTTGTAAAGTCGGCTTATGATCTTGGTGAGTTTATGTTTATTGAAGTATTCCTGATCGGAGAAGGATAGTTTCAAATAAATGTTTTATCTTAGCGTCACGACCAAATTAATTAAGCATGTGAGTAAGTTCGTAACCGAGTAAAAACGCGTTGTTTTCCAGTCATATATTACGTTGGACCTCACATATTGTACCCATTAAAACTATATTCTTTTATAAATCGCACTTTAATAGCCTTGTATTCCGCGCCAAATACAGTTTACACTGTGAAGAAAAATGCGATTAAATACTTAAAATGTGCAACTTTCACCCCACGACAGCCGTTAAGCCCTGGACGAAACATTTCAAAGATGTCTGTTATTATTCAAATTGTCTCAACCAGAAATTTACACAAGCAGGTTGAAATAACTCCCTTGAAAAAAACATGTTACGTCTGCCTGTGTTGACGTCTGCGCCACGTTAATGTGTAGACAGTCGGCACAACGGCCTCGGTATACTTACATCATCTCGCGCTGTGACGTAATCACTCAGGTCGTCTGCTCTGGAACTGTTTGTCTTACTCTGCGTCGAAAATGATACCTTTCCATTTTATTCTGGATGAAGTCAACCGCCAAATAAACACCTTTTTGTGTGGAGGACAAGGATTTTAATGACACGAGTGCTTGAAACATTGGTAAACAATGAACTCTTCGGTTGCCAACTTCTTTCAAACTTTACAAACACAAAGCCTACTTTGGGTCTAGATTAACCATGAGATTATCTGAACTTGCATTGTGCACATGTCTGCACGCAGTCTATGTTTTCAAACTACGATGAAACGATTAATTTGCTTGTCGAAGACAGAATACAGTAATGTTATGGTAATAGTGTTTTGATCAATCGTATGTTCGAATCTGGTGTAGACAAACCACGGACAGAGTAACAGGGGTTCATTGAATTAGTGAGTGAGATTTGTGTGCTGTTTTGAAAATTAGATTTGGCCAAACAAATACAAACGTTATTAGCCTGAAAACAACCACCAGCCCAATCCCCTTGTCTTTTTGGACAATAAAATATGTTTAATAACAGCCACCGTTACACTTCAAAGTTAGGTCTAAAACATAGCTATGATACCCGTATAAAGTACATCAACATTGCATAACCGTTTCTTGTTTCTTTAACCACCATCAAACATGGGCATTTGCTTCTTTTTTTTCTTTTTTCTTATTATTTTCTTTATTGCTGGGATATTGCTAAAAGCGGCGTAAAACCATACTCACTCACTCACTCTTTTTTCCCCCCGGCAGTTAAGGTGTGCACACGAGTTAATACTCGAAGTTGACCATCTGTGTAAGAAGGGAAGTGTCTCCCCGGTCGGGCAGGTGCACTCCGAGTCAGATGATTTAGCAGTGGTAAAATGCACATTTAGAGGCACGGGTTAAACATGTCAGAACGATTCACGCAGATGTTGACGCAGTGTTAAATTAAACATCACCGTCCCGACTTTGGCTGCATCAACCACGAGAACAGTTATTAATGACAATGAATATGTTGCATCATGTAGGTTAAGCTATTGAAAGGAAATTTGATAATATTATCGCTCAAAAATAGTTAAATGTTTCCATAAATTATATTATGACTTTAATGAATAGTTCATGGCATTTTCTTGATAGTTGTAAAAAAAAGTTGTGGTTTTTAGCAAAGCTGTGAGCTTTCAACACTTCCTGGGGTAGCCCTATTTACAAAAGTGGGGTAGCCTTGTGGGTAAAGTGCTTGTCCATCACGCCGAACGCCAGGGTTAAAATGGTTCCAATGTGCGAACCCTATTTCCCGTCACCCTCGCCGCGGTATTGCTGGTATATTTCTAATAGCGGCGTAAAACTTTACTCTCTCGCTTACAAAATTGTTTTGGCAATATTTGGTAATTTTTGGTAATTTTAAACGTATTCACTCGTCACGCCCTGGAACGGGTTGATTTTTCAACCTGTCTACACAGTTTTAAGACAATTCTTAGTGACCCCCCGCCGTAACGTTAGTTGTATATTTCCAAAAGGGGCGTTAAATACCACACTCTTGGTATCAATTTTTAACCTATTATTTTTTTCAATAGATATACAAAAAACACATATATTAAAGGATTTTGTGTTTGTTTATGTGTTTTTTAACGCCGCACTCAGCAATATGACATCTATATGAAGCCGGTCACACCAGACAAGCCAGTGATTGATATTATGAGCACCAATCTACGCAATTGGGATACGAACACATAAATTAACTGAGTCACAATTAAAAATCATCGATACGAAACACTAAAATCTTGCAAGGATATATAATTGTACACACACTTTGGGGGAACAATTACCGAGTCGTTTCCCTCTGTCACTAAAGCGTTCAAGAACAGTATCAGAAACGTGAACTGGATTCAGTATTCGTAATTATTCTTTCTGTGAAAGAAACGCTTGCTCAGGAAGTCCTTAACACCTACTTGTCTGTTACAGACATGCAAAAATGCACGTGTGCACTTTACGCGGGAGTAATCATATCTAATTTAGTCTCGGAAACGTGTTCCTGGTGTGATAATGCACATATTTCTGGGAGACCGATCCCAATGCCAAGGTCACGTTACGTCACAATCAATCAGAACGTTGCACCTCAACGTGTTACGTGTCTCATCACACTCAGTGTTACTCAAAAGCACATACGTCTACGTGTACATAGAGACAAGACCATGGTGCCCTTGAAGAACTCGGTTGAGCAACTTGACCCTGAATTACTAGCAGATAAAGTCAACGGTTGCCTTCTTGAATTTGATTGGTCAGATTGTTTCTACGTGACATAACAACAATCCAGTTTTATATAACAGCTGAAAACTTGTGGTAGCTAGATTCATCATTATCTTTCCTTTCTTCTCACTTTTCGCTGCTTCGGAGAGCGGGATGAGCGGTGGTTCGATAACCGGCCGCGTCATACCAAAAGACGTTGACAATCACATGGTACTTGTTCTTCCCCTGCCTGGCGCTCGGCATTAAGGGACTGGTCGGCTTGGAGTCAGTGTTCTGTGTCTGAGTGGGGTATTCATTTGAAATCTTCATCATGGTATCTCAGTGGGCTAGAACTATAAAACCGGCATTAATCCGGACTATTACACACCTACGCACGCACGCACGCACGAACGCTTACACACACCTCGCTTTTTAGGTACATTTATCTTGAACAAGACTTTAGACCCTATTTCACCTGACCTTAATTCCTTAACAATTCGTTGTCACGGCACTAATGCTATCATCAGGTAACGCTTGACACTAGCTGCAAGACCAGACTAAACACGGGAATTACTGTACAGAGTTCCGTCCCTTAGGCGTGTCAGGATACGTTGAGAGTGAAATCGAATCCTAGATTTTCCTGATTATGATCCTTGATTTGTCGGTACTGCACCCGCTCTCATGGACTTCACAAAGTGGTAAATATATACGACCTACATCACTTTTCGTCCCACATTAAACCGACTACCTGTGGTATAACAAAAATTATGTAGCGGCGCAAACACCCAAATCACTTGACACTTGACAGTTTTACTTTGTCAGCTAGAAGTACTGATGTATTCAAACGCGTAGAGCCACAATACACACACTATCCCTCCTCCACACCAGTACTCAAATGATGAAGTGGTTCTCTTTTAAACTCATCCGCTATACACGTAATTCATGTACACGTAAACCCCGTTAATCCGAACGGTGCTTTTCCAGTGAAATATTCAGGATTAATGAATTTCCGGATAAGGAAACCATGAGTACAGAATATGATTGTTTCTGGAAAAAGATATTGGACATTTCCAACAGTAACCGTCAGAAAGACGATGCTTCCGGATAAACAGGGTCCGGACTACAGAGGTTCCACTGTACACAGGTTTCCATGCAGACAACGATGTAGACAGTATCTGCCGGATGTGACACCCGGTGTTAAAGCATGCAGCTCAATCGGCAGGAGTTCCCCCCTGGCCTGCTGTCGGATCACAGATAACCTTTAGCAGGTGCCCGGAATAAGACTAGCATTTGGAATCGTTGCTACACTGTCAGGATGAATGTACTTTAAAA